ATATTATCATAATAAATGTATTTGTATATATTTATGTATTTATATGTATACAAATAGTGCTTTATACAAATCTTTTATAAAAACATGTTTCGATACATTTTTTTATTAAAGCGTGTTTGTATACATTTTTTTTTATAAAAATGTGTTTGTATATATTTTTATAAAACACGTGTATACGTATACTATATAAATAAGTATTTGTATACATTAATTTATAAAAATGTTTTTGTATATATATTTTTTATAAAAACGTAACTGTATATATTTTTATAAAATACGTCTTTGTATAGATTTTTTTATACAAATGCATTTATTATAAAATAGGTGTTTATAAAAAATATATACATAAATTTTTATATAAAAAAGATATATACAAAAGCCTATTTATGTGCATATAAATACATAAATATATACAAATATTTTTACTATGAAATAGCTGTTTGTATACATACTTTTTTTTTTTTTATAAAAACATGTTTGTATAAATTTGTATATATTTATGTATTTATATGTATACAAATAGTGCTTTATATATTTCTTTTATAAAAACATGTTTATATAGAGACTTAGGTTATTTTGTTTTTACTAACTATTGTGTGGACCACCGGATTGAATAGAATCAAATGTCATGATCTGAAAGTCTATGATATTACAATAGGGTAACATGTACCATATAATCACACAAATTTCAGCATAATGACATTTTAGTCATTTAACCTATATTAAAAAAGGAAATTTTCGGATTTTTAGGGATGATTAATTCCTTTATTTTTAAAAATCTAAATATTTTAAATTAATTCAAATTTAAAAATCCGATTTTATTCTTTCAGAATGACAGAATGTCAACCATAAACTAGTAAATATATTTTCGATTTTATTCTCGCAGAATATATTTCTAATGCATATATTTTTTATAATTAACCCGATTTAAGAATTCTAGATATTATTCATATACATCCAAGTTGGGTCTATGATTTTATTCTTAATACACATCCGAAATAAAATACAAATTCATATATATTCTTACAGAATAGTATCCTTATACATTTTAATATAGTTATACATATTATAACAGAATATCATTAAAAATGAATAAAATTCTTAAAAAAGTAGCATTCTTGAATATAAAATTATTGAACAAATACACTTGATCTTCATCAGTAGTCCATATAATCCACTTGATCTTTGCATATATACTTGTTGTTGAACTCGATTCCAAATATTTTTCGTGTATGATCAATATTGAATTCCTTCTCCATGCAATTCTGAAAGAATAACGTGGGATTTGTGTTGAGAGCCAGTGGAACGGAAGAAGTAGGTGTTGGTGATGGATTATTCTGAGTTTGGCGTAACCTGGTCATGCTCTAAACGAGCTTTTTCTTGAAGAAGCATACGCATGAGATGATCAACGGTAATTTGGTCATCTTTGACCATAAAGGCAGTAATAAAGGGCCCATAGGAAAAGTCCAACCCACCAAGGATATAACCTATTAGGTCTTCAGAAGAGACAGGATACATGATTTCTGCTAAGGAATCGATGACGGAACGCTTCTTCTCCACGTAGTCGATGATGGAGGGTGATCCTTTGGTGATGGTCTGAAGGTCGGTCTTCATAGACATTCGACAAGCTCATGTATGGCCTTGAAACATCTTTTCAATTGACGTACATGCCTCATGAGAAGAAGAGGATCGAGCAATAGTGGCAAGGGATGTTTCAGACAGAGTCGAGCGAGGCCACAAAAGAACAAATCGATCCTTCTTCTTCCAAAGAGTGTAGTCGGGATTTGGTTCTGTGGTAGGTGGACCTTCGGTGGGTGCGACCGTAATTGTCTGTGATGGTGGATTTATGGCTAGGGAAAACTCATCCAGCTACCACGTTTCAAGAGCTGAGATGATAGTTGATCGCCATAGAGGGTAGTTGTTACGATTAAGTTTGATGTTGATGGAGGGAAATTGAAAGTTGAGATTGGAGTTGTTAGCAAGACCGAGAAGAATGTGATTGGCGGCCATGGTTGAACGAAAAGAGAAAACATCAAAGAAAAAGGTAAGTGGCTCTTGATATCATGTAAATAAGGACAACTGTGTAATGTTTTTCTATTATTACTGAAGCAAGTACAACGCATACAAAGACTGCAATTTATATAAGATTTACAACTGGAAATCCTAAATATACGGCTGTACACCATGTCTACAATTAAGAAGAAATCATTCTCGTCTATTCTCTCACTCAATTCGTTTCTTAAATCTTCAATCTCTTTCTCGATTTTTTTGTCCACATATTCAAACTGAACTTACATCATATTGGTAGTCGTCTGCAACAAAGACTCGGCCACCTCATCAATCAAACCATTGAGCTCTAAAGGATAAATGTCCTTGTTCCCAAATAGTCGCAGAATCGTTTTGGACAAAAGCAGTAACAGTAAACTTACGTATATCTTGGTGAAAAAATTGAGAACAGTCTGCCATGGAGGTTTGAGGTCTTGGAGGTTTTTGTAAAACACGATGTTTGAAGTTTTCCTATATTTAAATAAGTTTAATCTAATAAAATTCCTTTAGTTTTATTCCTTAATAAATTGGAAAGGGTATTTAAGTACAATCACCTTTTATTTTTATTTTTAAATGTATTTTATGGTATTAAATTGATTTATACCTCCTTAAGATATAAAATTGGATATAAACGTGAATTTAATAGGTTAAGAAAGATATATATATATATATATATATATATATATATATATATATATATATATATAAACTTTAGAAGGATATAGACGTAATACTTAATGAATGCAAGGACATATATGAAATTTACGCAAGAAAAAAAATAAGAATATGAGATTAAGAAAAGGTACGAATATAAGTTATTTCCAATACATATGCGTATTTGCTCTATTCAGTGTATCAACTAAAAAGGTTCGTTTATACGTATGCGTATTATAAATTGAAGGTGCAGCTTTCCTGTAGGTGAAGCTATCACAATCTGGTTGACCATGTCATCCACTACCATGTGAACACCACACCATCATAACCAATCATATATATATATATATATATACTCTACAAGTCCAATTCCAATTCGTCCCCTACTGCTTTGCCCCAAATTTTTCTCCTTCTTCCACGTATGACCTCCATCACAGTTTATGTTTGAAACATAAAATAGAAAATATACATATATTATTGTCCATATCATATTTGTAATATGTAACCTTTAACATTTGAACACTTGTGGTGTTTGAACTTTGAGGGTAGGTCAAACAAGATTTGTTGTTCTCTTTCTCTGTATCAACCAAGTGAATACGCATTCTATAAAAGCCAATAAAGGGTAAATCAAAGTAGAGGGAGGGGGAGGGGGAGGTTTCTTCATGGGTAAGCTCTCTTGCAGGGCATGCTATGATAGAGTGTCATCGTAGCTTTCAAAAAGAGGCCAACTGTTGAAGAAACCAAGATAAGCTTGAAGTTTTTGGCAAAAAAAAAAAGAAAAAAAAAGTAATTAGGAATTAGGAATAAAAAATAAAGTCGAATGATACAGCAAGAACACAAGTGTATATAGTATATTTTTTCCAAAGTTGTTTTATTGATTTTGCAGGGGTGGGTACTCAAAGATTAATCCTAATCCTTGAAGAGAGGGAGTGTTATAAGTAGTTGAGGTGAATTGGTCTTGTAGCAATGGCTACTTGCACCATCGTCGAAATATCCCTTCTGCTTTGCTGCTGATGCCACCTGTAATTGTAACTGTCACTGTAAGTCAACATCTAAATCTCATTCTCATCACCTCTTCTTCCTCTTACTTTCTTTTTTTCTCACATATATCCAATCCAATCAAAAACAAGTATAGAGTTCCATGTAATTGATTTACCTGCTGCTTCAATTCTTCCTTTTCCTCTGCTAATTTCTTTTCCTATATTAACAATATATGTATGAAAACTTATTTAGATTATTAGATTATATATAACATGCAGACCACAGGGTATGTATGTATGTATGTATGGAGGAAAAGTAAAGTACCTACCTGTTCATGAAAGCTCGATATTCGCTCCATCATCAATTGTGTCTGCAAACAAACATTATTAATTATTATATATTGTCAATCTAAATACTGATTAACTCCATATATAATCAACCCAACCCAACCCAACCAATGACCAATCTATCTTGTTCAAAACAGAACATTGTATTTGTACCACAACACAACAAAACAAAGCTATATGTACAATTACAAGCTAGCACACTATCATAAACAGAAATAAGAACCTTTCTAGATCTCGTATGCATAAGAGCAGCATTAAGTTCTTCCTCTAACTCTGTCATGTCACTCACAGATACCTTATTTCCCTCTTCATCAACCCTGTCAAGGTCTGGGTTTAACATCCATAATATATATTGTGAGTGCATCGATCCATCATGATTTGCTTACCTTCTCACTGATTCTAGAAGCTCTCTGCATGTTCGGAATCTTGTGCAGGTGTGGTTAGTTCCCTCCTGTGAGATGGAAAGTTTTAGCGTTAAGATCTGGTGAGATCTGATCAAGATTCAACACAAAATTTAAATTATAGATGGTAAATTACATACTTACCATATAATCTTGGGAAGCCCTTTCTTGGGTGCTTCTCTCTTCTTCTGTCTCAAGGATGCTTTTCTGATACCGAGAAAGGATAAGCTCCACACTGTACAATACCCATTTAGATAACATATGAGTCCATCCAATCATTATATTGCCGCCTTCAAAAATGGAAAATTGCCCAATAGGTTATCCAACTTTTGTAATTTCTATTCAAGGTAGCCAACTTTTTGAATAAACAAAAATCTATTTAGA